GAGGAGGATACGGCTGCGATTCGAGCGCTCGTCGAATCATTTGGCAGCTTCTTGAGCACAACGAGCCTCTCTCCCAAAGCGCACCTAGTGGAGCCAGTCATCGTCGCAGCAGTCCGCAATCGTCTTCGCCGTCCTGAGGTCATGGCTTTGGTCGCCACATTGTTTCGGACAACAATGGATCTCAAAAGTGGCTTTCGAGCGCAACAGATCAGCGCAATACTTTCACACGCAAGCTTCAAAGCAGCCGTGTCCGTCTCGACCAACGGAGCGCACGATGAAAAAGCGCGGACTGCCGTTCTGAATGCCTTGCATGCGGCCATGGCTTCAGACGCAGCGTCGCTGTGCCGGCCAGCTACAGTAAGCACTCTCGTGCGAGCATACGGTGGCACGCTGAGTCGGGCAGATCGCACGATCATGCAAATCCTTGAACTCTTCGAGGGTCAAGAGCGACCAAGCGTCATCTCGATCGCCGCGAGTTGGTCACCTCAGGGTCCTTTGAGCGGCTTAGCAGAGACTTTGAACAGTCCTTTTGATGGGATCGCGAGCCTTGATCCCTCCACCGCGTTCAACACTTGCGCGGCCTTTCCACGTGGCAGGGCATTCCGACATCGCAGCAGCTCGATGCGGTCAGAGGCCATAGCTTACGATCCGCTGTTCATTCTGTCACTTCTCTCTGCGATGCTGCTCGACGAAAGCTTTGGGCAACTCACTGGGCTGCAGTGGCTCGTCGTGCTCAGATCGAATGCGCTCGGCATCGCAGCATGCTGCTTGAGCTCTCGCTCAGCTTCATTGAGAGATCGAGCTGCTCGCGTCTTGGGTCAGACGTATGCGATGATATCACGCGCAGACTTTCAGGAGCGCGAGCACCTTTTGCTCGTTTTGGACTCTTTGCGCGATTCGCGCCGACATGGTGACGACCCGTTGGCATTGTCAACAACGCTTTTTGTCGCGCATGCGTTCCGCGCGATCAGCGCGCCAGGCTCTCTGGCCTACCCGCTCATCAGCCGGTTTCTGCTTCAGCGGCCAGACCTACGACTGGAGCAAGACATTCCCATGCTGTACAATACGCTTTTGTCCGACGATGACGAGCACCATGCGCGGCATCGACTGTGGATGCTGCGCTTCTTGCGCGACGTCGTC